GAGAAAGAGAGAGAGAGAGAGAGAGAGAGAGAGAGAGAAACATCAATTGGTTGCCTCCCCTATGCACCCAGACCTGGGATCAAACTTGCAACCTAGGTATGCGCCCTGACTGAGGATGGAACCCACAACCTTTGGTGTAGGGGCGACGCTCCAACCAACTGAGCCACTTGGCCAGGGCAATAGTGATGTATTTTTTTAAAAGAAATTAAGCCTTAGTCACTTCTGCGGTACCTCATTTCCCCCCAATCTTGCCTTTATTTTAAATTTAGGAAGTTTTATAATCACTCATTCGTTTATGAAATGTTTTAAATGCTATATTATTATGTAATGTAAATAAATAAAAAGTAAATTTTGATGACAAAGGTGGTGTTACAAATTAGTGGGTAAAAGATGAGCTTTTGAATAAATAGAGCTGGGACATTTGGCCTTCCATTTAGAAAAATGAAATGAAATGAAATCTCTTCCTCACCTCAATGGCATAAACTATAAAAGAAAAATCAATAAATCAATAACTTTCACACATCAAAATTGAAAACTTTCATAAGATAAGCTACCATAAACAGAGTGAAAAGACAAGCCAAGACGGACACATAATTATAACAGATCCAGAGACAGGACTATAATGTTCTCTGTGGGGTTACTTGTCTCATTTGAGGACATTTTTAGAGATACTGGACCAAGAAATATGAACAGGCAAGACATGAGAGAGGAAACCTAGATAACCAACAAAAGTATGAAAAAGAGATTTCATTTCATTAAAAATTATGGCCATGTGCGTTAAATTTGCTGACTTTGGTTTGAAATTTTCTGCTGCAAAATTCAAGAGCTTGTTTTATTCTTTAAATTTATGTAAGAAATATATTCACATCAAACTACATAACATGCTATAGTTTTATTCTCTAGGAAACTTCATTTCCCCCTTTTCCCCAGAACAAAATTTTAATTTTAACATCTCTAAGCTCTATATTTTCCATTCATTCTAAATTCAAATACTTTTTTAATATTCCCCAAGAAAAATGCATTTGAAAAACATCCTATATCCTCTACTCTACTCCTCCCTGTGCCCTTTGGCTGTCACAGTCCCTGATCATGTCCCTTCATCCAGGCTTTTCTGCCTTCTGGGGGACCTCTTTCTGCCTCCTCAACTATAACCCCCCTTAATAAGGATATCGTGGGCTCTCTGGGAATGACAAAGTTCATAATTAAATTTTCAAACCTACTGTAATCATTCCTAAATCTGTGTGAATTTTACAACTACCCTATTACACTGTCATTGTATTTGGAAAATTCTATTAGGGAAAGCTGTTCTCTGGAGGAGCTGAAACAAGTGATAATCTTATGCTCGTGTCCACCTCTGAATTTAAATGGCCTCGAATTGGGTTAAAATGAACGTATTTAACAGGTATGGAGTTACGGTTTTCTTTCCCTCCAACTGCAGGTATTTTGCAGAAAGGGACACTACAGCAGCTCAGCAGGTCCTCTCTGACTCTCTTCATCCAAAATGCAGGTAATTGTTGAAAATAAAAGGTGTATTAGGCTTTATGGATGTGGTAGAATTAACTTCACCTCCTACATGGATCTATTGATGAGATTCTCAGGAGTCAGCCCACCAGAAGTGAGGCTTAACGCTCTTTCAAACAAGCCATTCTGACAAATTCTGACTAGGATGGTTAAAACTTCGGGTACTTATGTGCATTGGCTCCACATGCAAAGGATTATTAAGTTAGCTAGCATGAGGTAGACTCCTTAATTACTATAAAGCTCTGCCTTGCAAATACTATGGAATGACTTGCGTTTTAAAGTATACTTGTACATTTACATTATGCCGTATGGTTGCCTTAGGGCTTTCTGTACAGATAGTTTTTGTTAATATTAAATGGAAATCATAAGCCTGAAACATGCTGTTCCTTGTGAAATTGATGGAACCTACAAAAAAGCACCAAACACTTCAGTACTTATGGGATTGAGGGTGTAAAATAGAACCGTTAGAGTGAGATATGTATTTAAAGGGACTGATAGCATCACTGGTGTCCAGGAAGACTGAGGAGGTGGGCCCAGAAGATGGAGAAAGTAGAGTCTGGGGGAAAAAGGTCAGAGCCAAGGGAGCATGGTGGGGAATAGAGGGGAAGGTGAAAGGCGTGAAGTCGGGGGCTGACTGAGAAGCCTGGAGTAGCTGAGGCCCTTCTTTTAAAAAAATAAAATTCCAGATTCTAAATTAATTTGCATTTTCATTTACCTTTCTAAATTTTTTTTTCTTTAACTGATTACATAAAGGGATATCACTAAAGAGGAAATAAGGTATTTTTCTTTGCTTTTGTGTTGTATTGCTTTTATTTGCTTTTAGAATAAGTATGGGCAATGGTTTTTAAAGAAATATAAATTCACGAAAATTTTTCCAAAAGCAAGCATGTTCTATCCTTTAATTTAATATAGTTTATTTTGTTTTGGCTCTGTTATAAGGAGAGAAAAACCAGGTTAGATCAACCTGACAGAAAATGTCAAAAACCCTTCCTGCAACCATGGCCATTCCTGGTTGGAGAAACATTTTGAACGCCGCCTGAAGGCTGACCCCATCCACTCGCCAGACAGGGGGCATTTTATTTGGGAACTCTGTTGCACGGAGCAGATTTGCTCTTCTATTGATATATTTCTAATTTCATTATTATATGTAGTAGTTATATTTGCTTTAGTCATTCTTAATATAAGGAGTTCTGCTATTTAGCAATCATGGTTTTGTGTCACTTTTTTCTCCTCAGCATGGCAAGTTCCTTGTTAGTGTTCCTATTTTCTAAATAAGTCCTAAGTTTTATCATACCATTCTCAAAATTCAGAAGCAGATTGACTTCGGGGGCCCCCTGCCACCTTACTATTTATTATACTTATTCTAGTTTCTGTTGGCTAAGGTTCACTTAATGATACTATACTTCTCAGATTTATATTTATAATCTCTCATAAGATTAAATTATCATTTTCTTTATCTTTTATTTACTTCGGGAAAATACTAAAATCACCTAGCTCTTTCTTGATATATTACATGGCTAAAATCGAGCTATGTTACTTTTTTAACTGCATTGTCTGAACTGCATATTTCTGGAATGCAGAGACTCTGAACTGCCTCTAATTAAAACCGACTGCGGGGTCTGTGTGCAGTGTCAGGTGGCATTTCCCGGAGGAACATCGGCCAGAAGACATGAATCCTCTGTGGTCCTTGGGAAGAGGCAATAAGCTTAAAGCATCTTTTTGATTAACATTTGATTAAGCATTGGAGGGGGATTACTTTCGGCTGCCGGCCGTTCTCAGAGAAAGGCTTTAGAGTTTGCCTCCTGTGTCAGCATAGAGAGGCAGTGTCTGAGGGCTTGTGTGATGACTCCTACCTAAGACACTAGCATGTGCATGTGTGTGAGCGTGCACACGCGGGCGGGCACGTGAAACTACCCCGCTTTGTCCCTCAAGCTACGATCAGATTGACTAGATGGAGTTCAAGCACGGATGGTAAATGTCACCGAGTGTAAATGTCTTGGAGATGTTACTGTCCTTCCCTGGTGCCTGAAGGAAGTGCCTATGGACCGATCGTGATGCGAGCATAGGTTCTGTCGGGCCCTGAACCTTCCAGGCCTTCAGCAGGGAGAGGCCTACACAGGCTGTGGAAAGCTCTTTCCTGTCCGTTCTTCAGCAAGCATTATACTATTGCTCTTGTGGACACCCGTCCATTGAATCCTGAAGTAACTTGAGGGATAAAAGTAGATTCAAGTTTAAAGGAGAATTTTGACTATTAGGCATTTGTTTGTTTGTTTTGTTTGGAGTGTCGGGGGGAGGGTATGTGTGTTTCCTCAAGAGAAGGATTCATTCTTTGGGGGCCAGTATATCCTATAGGTAATCACAGAAGGGGAGGTCGTTTGGCCTTTTATTTTTTTTATTTTTTAACATTAGTAATTTAATTCAGCCAAATCATTGGGCCTTTTCTTATACTTTCCATGCAGATAGAGATTTAACAAATATAGAGAGACTGTATATTTACAAAGCTTTGTTGAAGAGAAAATAGGTCCTTATAAATTCATTTATAGAAAGCATCTTAAATTTCACGCACAATATATTTTAATTTGAATACGAGTCTTTTAAGGTAAAAATGTCCTGATGCCACTTTGGCTGGTTTGTTGGTTGGCAGTTACACTTTAAAAAGAGGTGGCATGTTTTCCCACGAATTAAAGACAGTCACTTTGAATTGTAGGTAGTTGTTTATAGACTGGAAAGTACATATAGTTAAATACAAGCTTTGCAGTGTGTTTTTGTGATCTTGTGCTGTGTGTATTACATGTGTGTCTTTTAATGTAGTGTTTTCACTGTACTATAGAGAATTCTCTCCTACTGGGAAGCAAAATGTTCATAATAACTCTAGCTTTAAATTTTCATTTTGTTCAAATGCTAACCACATTTTTTAGTGTAAAACACTGAATGAAGGCCCCATTAGCCACAATGAGGAGTGGACCATGGTTCCTGCCTCCAAGACATTAGCAAGGAGGAAGGAAGTGGGCATGGGGGTGGTGTGCAAGAACACACAGGAATAGAATGCAAGGCAGTAATTTCAGAATGCTTCTGTGATAGATAGGACCCTTCGGTCTTATTCAGAAGCTCAAATGATAAATGGATCAAAAGTGGAACTGCTGTGGTTTAGCTGTCTTAGCTTAACCAGAGGAAGTGCCATAGCTCTTGTTAAAACAGAATTTTTAAAATCCAAGTAGTATTCCTCCTCCTCTCCCTCCTTTCCTCCCTTCCTTCCTTTTCCTCACTAACTCAATTATTTATCAACAACTATTTATTCAGCATCTTCTGTGTGCCAGACATCACAAACAGGCTGAGCAGGATAAATGCTTTGAGATAAAACCAAACATGGTGAATCATGAGAGAGTGAGGTGGCACCTAGTTTAGAAGAGAAGGTTCATGGAAAAAATGTTTGATAATTAATGATAGTACAAATGAGTATCTTAATGTTTGGCCTTCAGGGCTGTCGCCCACAGCTGAACTAAAGTGAATCGGGCATAAGAGCATGGCTTTAAATAATTCCCTTTCTGAGCTCCATATAAATTGCATTGTGGCTTTTTAATTGATAACATTTTCATTGGTTTATATTTGATAACTGAGTTGCAGAGGTCTCTGCCTCTAGTCAGCAGTTTTAACATGAACATTAAAAGGGAACAAGTACCGATCAGAGATTAAATCTTATTTATTTATTCATTCACTCATTCAGCAAATTCAGCAAAGCAGAATGGGAGCAGAAAAGGAAGGACAAGGCAATTGGGTGAGTTTGGGATTTCACAGTAGAACGCGTCAGTCTGAAACAGAACAGAAATGCCCAAGGAGCCCTGTGAAATATGGCAAGGGTGAAAATCTGCCCGTCCTGATGGAAACATAGCATCCAGCTGAATTTTTAAAAGGATAATTTATGTTTTTGGATATATGTGTATTTGTGTGATTATGCAATACTACTTTGCCTGCCACCAACTGCAAGGTTTAGAAAGTTATGACTATATAGAAGCCATTTTCAGAAATCATTTAGAATTGTATTTGGTAGTTTTCTTTTAAGAATTTCTATCAAGTATCAGGCTATTTTAGAAGTTTAGAAGTTTTTTTATAATGCCTATTTTATCTAAAAATACTCTGAACAGACAACTCCTGTATATTATGCGATAGGATTTAAGAGCTGTTTCATTTAATTTTTGATAGACATGTAGAAAAGGGACTAGAAAATATACCCTGAGCATTAAAATATTTATTTTTTTCTCATTTTAAAAGTAATATATGCTTTATTATAGATAATTTAGAAAAATATAGGAAAGTAAACAAAAAAATCACCCCAGTCTTATTACTCTAACATACCAATATTAATATTTTGTGGCATTTGATTCTAGCCTGCTTTTTGTGCACACTTGTGTGTCTATACAATACAGCTTGGCTTGTTCAATGCATAATGTTTTATATTCCTCTTAAATAGTCTTTAGGAATATAGTTTTTAATGGCTGAATATGTTACATGAGATTACTATAGGTTATTTCACCAATCACCTTTTTTAGGATATTTGAATAGTTTCTATGTCTTTGCCACTATTAATAATGCTGTAATGAATATCCTTGCATATGAAGCTTTGTCAATTTTTTATTTTTCTCTCTCATATATTTGGAAATGGAATTACTAGGTCAAAGCATATGAACTCTCAGTTCTCTAGTGTACATTATTAAGATGTTCTGGTAAATTACCAAATTGCAGGTTTTGATAAGGTGGAGAAGGAAGGGACACCTGCTGCTCTAATAATTTAATAATTTAAAAATCAGACTATCATGTTTTTAAACCTTCTTTCCCCTGTGTGACACACATTGGTCTTACGGTTTGCACTTCACAGGTACTCCTTTGCAATCGTGGGTATCAACATAACTGACCTGGCATATAACCTCCTGGTGAGTGGAGCTCTAAAAACCCACTTCTATAACATCGCCCCCGAAGCACCAACGTTGTCTCACTTCCAGCAAACATTCTGTAAGTGTCCCGTTGCTTCATTATCAGTGTTGGTTTCTATAGAACATTCTAGACAAGGATCGAAGCTGAGTTATCTAGTGATTTAGCTGCTTTGGGGACTTCGAATTTCCTCTTTTGGTTTTGATTTTTTTTGTTTTTCTCATTTGAAAACCTACACGTATATTTTCAGGCACTGGGGATTTGTCCACTTTCCTGGCCCTTGCATGATATCCAATGTACCTGTTCCTGGTCTGACTTAAAGACATCATGGGTGACTCTCTCCCTTTGGCATAGAACTTAAAAGTGCAGGCTCTGAAAACAACCTGAGTTGACTCCCAGATCCATGTTTACTAACCTCTCTAAGCCTCAGTTATCTCATCTACAAAATGAGTCTTTTCTTAGAGAGCTGCTATGAAGGTAAAATGAGATGATGGATAAAAAGTTTTTATTAGCCAGCCCCATAGTTAGTGCTCAGTGAGCATTAGAAAGAGGAAATGTTGGTTCAGTGGATGATATTGATCTAGGTCTCCCCACTGAAAGAACCCATCCATATCACTCTGCAGGCATGCTCGTAGTCAGCAAGCCCTATGTGCTAAGAGCTTCCAATCAGCTTTTAGTCCACCTAGCTTTTTATTCAGTCAAAAATATTCACAGACAACCAAGGATTATCAAATGTCTGAGTGTGGTGGTTAAACACATATCATCAAATTATTTTGACACACCTCCCACTAAGAAGTAAGGTTTGTTTGTCCCTCTCACCACTTGAATCTGGGCTGACTGGTTGGTTGGCCAGTAGAGTATAGCAGAATCGACACCATGTGACTACTGAGACTAGATCAGCAAAGGCTTTTGCCTGGTTCTCTGGGACTGAGCTGCTTTTGGAGGCATGACATACTATGTAAGGGATTTGATTCCTCCTGTTGTGAGGAAGTCCAGGACACATGGAGCAGCCATCTGTAGGTGGTCTGATTGGCAGCTCCAGATGAGGTCCCAACTGATATCCAGCATTTACCGCCAGACGTGTGAGTAAAGATGTCTCAGATGGTTCCTGCCACCAGCAGTCAAGTCACCCCCAACCTTCGGGTCTTCCCAGTTGAGACTCCAAGCATTGTGGAGCTGTCCCTCCTATGCCCTTTCTGAATTACTAACCCACTGAATTCATCAGTATATTAAAATGGTTGCTTTAAGCCACTGGATTTTGAAATAATTTCTTAAGTAGCACTTGGTAACAAGAACAGTAAGAAAAGCCTCAAACATGAAAGAGAGTGCAAAACAAGCAGAAATAATGCCACTAAAAGGAAATAGAAACTATACAGGGAGAAGAAAATGTCAAAACTCTACATCATTACCATCCCCAAAGAGATAAGAGAAGAAATTGCAACTATGAAACAATAATAAGGTGGTATAGAAAGAACACCCCAAGAACAAAAGAATGCTCTTAGGAATTAAAAATCACATAGCAAAAAATGAAATCACCAGGAAGGATTAGAAAATAAAGCTGAAAATTCTCCCAGAAAGCAGAACAGTATAGGATGAAAAATAGAAAAATAAAGGCTGAGAAATTAGAGGATCATTCTAGGAAGTCTTATAACTGAATAATATGAGTGCCAGAAATAGAACAGTGAAACTAAAGAGAGGGAGTCAAAGAAATAAATCAAGAAAAATTTTCAGAACTAAAGGATGAGTTTTCACATTTAAACTAATAAACACCAATAGATTAAAATAAATTCACACCAAGATCCATATCATTATGAAATTTTATGACACTGGAAAGAGATGATTCTAAAAACCTCCAAAGCTATTATATAAAGAATTGGGAATCAAGATGCAATTGGACTTTTCAACAGCAACATTGTGTTCTAGAAAACAGTGAAATAAATAATGTCTTCAAAATTTTAAGAGATTATTTTTTAAAACCTAAGGGACTATGATTTCCAATTTAGAATTCTATACCCAGCTAACTTGCCAATTAAGTATGGGAATATAATAAAGACATATTTTTAATGCAAGGTCTTAAACATTTTACCTCTATAACTATCTGGAAGCTCCTAAAAAGATATGTTTCCACAAAATAAAAGTATAATTCTAAAGGGAATGAATTAGGTCTGGAAAATATGAAATCTATCATAAAAGAGAAGTGAAGAGAATCTTCAGGATGAAGGGAAAGGGAAGCCCAAGATGATATATATCTGTGCAATAGCCTGAGAATAATAAATCCAGATCTTAGCAGGTCAGAAGTCTCTGAGAGAGAGACTTTGAAGATTATGAAATTGATGGAATATATACCAAGTTTGAACACATTGAAAGGGCTATGGCATACTTAAGGGAAATTTTAAGATTAAATTAAGTAAATGGAAACTAAGCAAATAAACAAAGAGGGCAGTTATTAATACTAGGTAAGAAAAATATTAGAAAATATGTGATAATGTGATTGGAATGGGTGAAAAGGAGCTAAGTCTCCATCTTCTATAAAGGGAAGTAAAAAAAAAATCAAGCAACAGGAAGTATGTTATTTAGACCTATGGAGGTCAAAGATCAAAAGAATCAGCTGAAAGAGTTAAACTGTTGATTTAGGGAAGAAGGAGTTAGGGCATGAGGTGCTGCAGGTTTTTGTAACAAGACTTGTTAAACCATGTGCTTGTGTAACTTAGATAAAAATATGGAACAAATTTTAAGATACACACACTTTATGACATTTTAATGGAAGTCCCTTACATATGTGATTGTAGCTCCTACTCTGACAATTAGATGGTTGTACCTACTCCTATAATAGCTCTGACCATTTCCAACAAATATTATTGAGGTTTTACTGCAGATCAGGTTCTGACTGAGGAAGACAGATATCTAAACAAATGATTAAAGCATAGTAGGAAGAATTTTGTGATTGAGGAAGTAAAGATACTGTTTTTAAAAATTTTAAAGGCTGGCTGGCATAGCTCACTCAGTCTGGGAGTCAGGGAAAGCTTCCCAAAGCAAATGTCATTTTTCATGAGACCTGAAGGATGAGTGATAGGAGATAAAGCAATGGTGGCTGAGTGGTCCAGCTAGAGGGAATGACAGGGGCAAAGGCTACAAGGCAAAAGAGTATGGTAGATTCAAGGAACAGAGCACAGTGTTTGAGAAGGGGTAACTAAAGACGACACTAGTAAGAGCAGGGATGGGGGAGCATATATCTTGAAGAGCTTTTAAGCCATTTAAAAGAGCATGAACATGTACATAAGTAATGCCCCTTGCTAAGTTTCCTTACCCCGTGTGCTTGCCCTATTCTGTGTTTACCATGCTCTTTAGGGAAACAGCTTTCAGAGGAAGTGAGTTTGGGTTTAGGCATGCAAGGGATAAGTTCTTTTGAGAAGTTCACATTGAGCTGCATAGTGGAAATTCTAGTGTAAAGCTCTGGAGCTCTGAAGAATTACAAGGGCAGGTTTGAGGTTCATCAGCTGAGGAGACTGTCAGAGCCACACTGCTAGAGTAGATATTCAGTAAGATGTGATGGATGGATGGATGGATGGATGGATGGATGGATGGATGGATGGATGGATGGATGGGAGGCTAAAATATTGGATGATGTCCTTCGTGGGAGAAAGGGAGTCTAATTTATCTGGAAAAATTTAGCCTTTGTCTGAATTGATATGCTGCCAAGAGACCCCTAGCCCAGGCCAAGGTGAGTAAGCATGCGCTAGGATTACTTTCCCCAGGGCCCTCACCAGGTTTTAGAAAGAGCAGTAATCCCCATATAGATTGGGGGGTAGGCAGAGGGACTCAGGCCTTTCTAGAGGAAAAAAGCAGTGCCCTGAATTTATTGTTCCCCCATCGGGCATGCTCAGCTCTGCCCGCTTCCTCTGTAATATTCTTGCAGTTACCTGTGCCCTTGCCTGTGTCTCTCCTGTCTGCTAACTGAATGCAGTGCAGCAAAACCAAGACACATTCAAGCAACAGCAGACCTGCTGCAGGCTTAGCCTGGAAGGGCCAAATTAGTATTCAAAACAGGTATCATCTAGGTGAAAAACTGCACAAACATAACAGCTCCGTCAGTCTGCCTGCGCAGCATTATGCAGTGAGCACTGCGCTGCCGAGGCGCGTTCCACGAACGCTGCATTCAGTCCAGCGCCCCACTGAACACACAGCTCCGCTGAGATGGAGGAGGGGCAGTGTCGTGAGCAGAAGGAAAGCATAATGGCCAGAAGAGGGCAAAGACTTATCTTTTCTTTGACCTTCAAAAGAGGGAAGTATTCCGTAGGAAGGAGGACCGGAGGAAGTCTCCCTGGCCAGTTTTGCTCAGTGGTTTGAGCATCGGCCCGTGGACCAAAGAGTACGTACCTTAATTGCAGGTTTGACCCCTGGCCAATTGATGTTTTTCATGAGGATAAAAAAAAAAAAGAACCAGAGGAAGGGAACACCCTGGAAAAGGCAGCTGGCATGACAGTGGAAAGCCAACTGATTTTGGTTCCTAGCTTCTGGCCTCCAGCTGTAACTGTGTAATTGTACCCCATTCGAGTGTTTTTCTAAGCCCAGAGTCCTCATCTGTAACATGAAGATGCATCAGCATGACCTGCCCCACAAAGCTGCTGGAAGAATTAAATAAGAGACTATACACAATTAGCCTGGCCCGTTTCCTCTCTCTACTTTCCACACTATTTTGTTAGCTTCCTTGGCAAATCAATAATCATCTGAAATTGTCTCCCTGGGTTCCTCTCTCTAACAGACCAAGAATTGGGGAGCATAAGAATTCTGCCTTGCTCTTGTATCTTTACATATTTGATAATTGGAAGATGGGCCAATGACCACCTGATCAAACAGATTAATGAACAGATTAATGTTATATAAATTAGTGGAGTTTTATAATTATAATATCTACCTTGGAAGCCACTCCATTTCTGCATTTTGATCAAAATTATATTATACAGTCTCTAATTATTTTCCTGATGGGATAGAGAGGGTCCTAGAAAATCAATCTATAAGCTTTATAGCTTGACTTTTGTAGCCTTAAGGGGAAAGGTCCTGAGAATGGTGTCAGATTGTTAGCCACCCTCACCTCCACTCTTATCCTAGCTTGTCCTCTAAACTTTTCAAAATACTTTTCCGTATGTATGTTTTTGTTTGTAAAGTGGAAAAATGGGGAAACCTGATGGATCTGCATTCTTCTAAAACTCTGTGCCACACTAGATCACCTTTGGAGTGAGTTGCCAATTTACCTGCACATTGTAGCAGAGTGAACATTTTTATGTACATTGCGGAAAAGTGAATACTTCACTGAAAGGGAATTTTTCACAGTGCTTATTTATGATTGTCAATAGGAGTAGAGAACTCATGAGATACAAATGAAATGCCTTTAATTCATCATCTATGATTTTAATTCGTAATGTTGGAAACCTGACTCTATATACAAAACAGCTCAAGTGTCTTTATTTGAGCTCAGAGGCCAAGTCAGAAAAATTATGTGTGTATTTTATAGAGCAAGGAAAGAAGAAATTATAAATGATCACAGGTTTTATTTAGGACCATAAAAATTCCAATATTAGAAAGAAGCCAAGGGAACTTAAAAAGAGGGTATTTTCTAGACCAGTGGTTCTCAAACTTTAGTAACATGTATGAGACTCGTCTCACCGAACTGTGATGTCTGGTTGAATCTGGGAGAGTCTGCATTTTTAACAGGGATACTTTAGGAGTTTTCCCAGTCCCTGAGATAAACAAATGATTGAATTGTTTCAGTAAAATAAGATACTGAGATTAAAGGAAACAAGTTTCTGTTGGTGGGCACTGAAACAACCAGCATGATAAACAGACGCCAAGTCGTGGCCTGTGAAAAATAGTGAGGAGAAAGGGGATGCTTAACCTGGAAGAGAGATAAGCTCAGGGCATGAAGGGCACTTCAGATACTTGAATTGGAGAAGCATTGAATTTGTTTCAAGAAATACAGGGCAACATAGTTTGGCTTGGTGAGAGGAAGAACCTTTAAGAATCAGGTTCTTAGAATACTACTTTGCTTTAAAAAAGAAGGAAATCTTACCCTTTGTGACAGAGTGGATGGACCTGGAGAGTATTAGGCTAAGTGAAATGAGTCAGTCAGAGAAAGGTAACTACCATATGATTTCACTCATATGTGGAATCTAATGAACAAAATAAACCAACAAACAAAATAGAAACAGACTCAGAGAACAGACTGATAGCTTTCAGAGGGAAGGTGAGGTTGCGGGGCTGTGTAAAAAAAGTGAAGAGATTAAGAAAAAAATTCAAAGCCACAGACAATGGTATAGTGATTACTAGAGGAAAAGGGGATGGGGGGGTAGAAGAGGGCATGGGGGGATAAATGGTGATGGAAGGAGACTTGGGGTGGTGAACACACAATGCAATATACAGATGATGCATTATAGAATTGTACAGCTGAAACCTATATAATTTTATTGACCAGTGTCACCCCAATAAAATCCATAAAAAATAAGGAAAAAAGTTCCACCCTATAGGTCTTTGTTTAGGAACTACAAGGAGAGATACTATACCCAAATAGAACTGGTAGGTTTCAAATCACTCTACTCTCATTGGAACTTTATTTCTGAAAATAAATTACTTATATCCATTAGGGTGGGGCGGGGGGTTGGGATCAGGTTCTTCATCCATGGTACAGGCTAATGTCAGTGCTGCCACCAGAAGAATTCAAGGCCAGCTGATACCTCGGGGAATCCAAGCATCGAATGGAGCAGGGATGGATGGGATGGCTCCTGGGGTCCCTGATACCTCTGACCTGAGGTTTCTTGTTTGGATGAGGGTTGGTGTGTGTCCCCATCAGAGATGTTTATGTTAACTTGTGTTAACACAAATTAACCTAATATGTTAATATGTGTAGAGGGCCCAAAGACAGTCCAGTCCTAAAAGAAATGTAGCAGTCAACCCCTGAAAAAAAGGCAATATCAGTTCTCTCTCTCCTTAGTACCCTTCCCCCTGTAGTTGCAGAGAGCCCCTCTACGTAAAGATGCACAAGCACACCTAACCACGTAATGAGTGGGTAATCGAGTGAGTTTGTGGATGGAGACCCACATCCGGCAGCATGTGTTGGGGGAGAGTGGGAGCAAAGGCCACTTCTAATTTTGTATGACAGTGAGATGTGAATCAAGATTTTTAAAATTCTGTTTATGAAACTATGTTAAAGGTTTTCTCGTAAGTAGCTAGTTTCCAGAAAAACAAAAGGTATTGATTTTTTTTTACAACTAGAATTGAGTATGTTTGCTCCAAAATTCTCTTCCCGTGCCCCCTATCATCTCTGCGACTCCCTCTTTTCCCACGATGGTGAAGAAGCCAGGATCCAGCCAGGTTTCTGCTCCAGAGTCCTGGTTCCTACTCTCCACTGCCTTCTCATGAAAACACAAAGAAAAGCTTGTGTAATGATCGGTTTTCTTTTCTTAACTGGGATTATGTTCTGAGATTTTCTAATATATAGAGACACTTGAGCTTGCAATAGGTTTACCACATACAAATATCTATTATCTTTTTTTAAAAGCTGTTCACATATCCATTTTGAATGTGGTGGAGGGAGGGGGCACAGTGGGGAAACAGAACACAATGAATAGATTCTCATAAGCAGACGCTTAACGTTTATCCCAAAAGTTTTCCCAGTCCAGATCGTTCATAGATAACATTTGTGAGACATAAAAGTCTTTGAAAACGAAATTGTCCTTCAGAACACGTAAGTTTTATTAGCAATTTCATGTATTTTAATGACCGGTCTGTGCTGTTTAGAGTTGATTTACAATTTTTATTGTCTTATAATAGATTGTCAGGATGCATTTGTTTGATTTGTCAGGGTAATTTAAAACTTCACTCAAATCAAATACAAGAGAAAAAAAAGGCTGAGTGGAGTAATTTTGAAAAATTAGACCATTATGTTAATTTAATCAGGAGGGGAGGGATGAAGTAGTCACTGTCGGCCTTTCAGAAGGTTCCAGATGTGATTCATTGTCAAGAGAAGGCAGAAGTCATTTTTATTTCTGCTTGAAAGGAGTGGGAATAATTCCAGAACTAATTGCAAAAATCTTGCAGATTAGCAGCTCCTACTGCACTGGATATTAAGAATAATTTTTCACAGTAGTATTTGCTGTGAAATGCTTTTATCTAAATCCCCGTCTCTTCTTTGAGCTCCACGATGCTGTTCTTTTGTCTGACATCTCTTTAAGCCATTCAGGGCGATTTTGAATGTGGTGCATTCGTATCACTGTCTTATCTCCAACAGGCTATCTGATGCATGAGTTTCATAAGTTTTGGATTGAGGAGGACCCCATGGACATAATGGAGTTCAACCGCGTGAGGGAGAAGTTCCGCAAGAGGATTGTAAAACAGCTGCAGAACCCAGACATGGCGCTGTGCCCGCACTTCGCCGCCTCGGAAGGGCTAATCAACATATAGCCGCCCACCCTGACGGTCACGGGTCCCCGGGAACACTGCCTCATTGTCGTGTTAGATCTCTGCTTTGTCCCAGCTCGCCCACTGAATGCACACAGTGATCGTATGCATGCGTTTGGTACAGTATCTTCATCTCTTGGTCGTAATTACCAGATCCCCAGATACCACTGTCCCTGGAGTATCTGCCATCCAGTGACTGCTCATATTGTGGCACTATGCGGCGTCACATCCGCCTTGACACCGGGTATGGAGAGAGTTTTCTATTTTTTTAGATTGTTTTCCTCCCTCTCATAGTTCAGCATTGAAGACCTGTATTTCTCTCGCTGTGTTTTGTACGTAAGAGAGTCGGCTGAATCTTGTTCTTCGGAAGCCTTTTAATTTATTGATATGTTTCATGATTACTGCTGCTAGCTTTTCAAGCCAGGTTCATGCTTGGGGCTCATTCCTATAAAGTATAAGACTTTAAAATAATACAGACAGACACATGATAAGCCAAACCATTCCTGCAAACGTAGCTGCGCTTCACAGAAATGTAACGCGAGGCTTACAAGAAGCAAATTTAGATAGGTGGTGTTTTTGTTCGAAGTACCCCACAATTATATTGTAACTTACCCCCAAGTCTGTCATAATCATTTGGATATCCAATTATTTTATCCCCATAATGTCACAGGCTTAGAGGCCTAAATATGCGTATGAAGCCTAGAGCCTCAGAGAAGTATGCGTACGTACTTCAAAAGCTGCAAAAGGTTTTTCACTGCCTGCCTCTTGCCGAACTCAGAGTGACACCTGGGCACGGTTCTGATCCCAGCATCTTTGTTCGAGGAACTGAGCGCGGACTGGCTCGTTTTCTCTGTCAAGAGGCAATATTTAAAAACAATTTGCAAGAAAATGTGTTGCAGGGGAGGAACCTAAGCTACGTCATTCTGCAGTATTTCTTGAAAATAATAACCTTGTCTTGTATCAATAGAAGTAAATCGCTTGGAAGGGGGAAAAGGTTAAATCATTCCAAAACTGCTCAAAACCATTCTCAAAGCCATGGTTTCGTTTGGAATTATGATTGTTGTCTGTTGAATAGTATTTACCATGGCATTTCATACCCATGGTATTTTATACCTTCTACCAGTTTTAGTATTATTAGACGTTTGTGTAATCACTTGCTTATTTAAATGAATTTTGAGTACTGCCTGTCAGTTATATGAATAAATGACACGTCATTCTACTGTAACGTATAGTGGATTCCATTTTAATGCCTCCGTGCTCCTGCAGCTCCTGAATATGCAAATATGTGAGTGGGTAGAATATCAAAGACAGACCACCTGGGGCTGAATATAACTGTGCCATCATTTCAAGTAACGGAATAAATTAGAGGATGTCACGTCTGAGAAACCTCTTTTTTTCTCTGATCTCCTGGCCTGGTGGTGCTTTAATGAAAGAATAAAGTCCACTTTTTTCTCTGTAGCTTCCTATAAAGCCTGGCTTGTCTGCTGGTAAAGGAAGCCTTACGCTGCCTGTTGTTTGCCGTCCGCTCCAGCTCCCCTGGGCTTCGCTGTCCTTTCCTCCCGTCCGTGCACCAGGTGGCAGCATGTCTCAGCGCCCTGTTACAGCCCCGTGCCCTTCCTTAGGACGGGGCCAGGAAGGAGCTGGTGAACGCGTGGCGTGCACTTGAGAAGAGCAGGTGAGAAGCTGTGAACCAGGGAGGTGCCTGTCGTGGGAGCCCTGAAGTTTCGCTGCAGCTGCTCTAGGTGAAAGCCTGTTCCACAGCAGCCGGCCTCCGTGAGCCACACGCGTGTGCTGTTTCTCTCCACCCGCCACCGCCCTGCGTCCCTGGCAGGGCCTGATGGCATGTGGCGTTGACAGCAGCTTCCGTCCCTTCTGTTCAGGTGGAGGCAGTTGACAGTGACGACGCTGGGAGCTCTCCCTTCCAGCTGGTCGAATGATTTCTCCCTGTTGGATTTGAAGATGGCTGCACAATTTTAGGGTGACAAGGCTCTGCCAGTGCCTCGCAGTCAGAGAATTATTAGATTTCTCATTCACGCCTCTTTGGGGAAGGTGCAGTCTCCCCAGTAACATGAAGTGAGATGAGAAAAAGAAAAGCAGGACATTTAAAATGCACTAAAAGTGTGTGACGTGTTGCCCTTGAGCATCCTGAGCTTGCCTTTACATATTCCGTTCAATGAGGGCTGACCACCTAAAATGTACATGATAATGCAAGTCCCAGGTTGCCCAAAACACTACTTGCCACGATAAAAACACACCACAGAGAAAACACACACACACAACTCTTTGAAGCACCGTTTCTGAAAAGCTCTACTTCAATCTGCCTTTCCTTCTCACAACTATTATTGTACCGAGAAAAAGATCTTAAGCCTGATAACCCATCATCTTTTCTGTTTGAAAAGAAGCTTAAGTACAGGGTAGGCAAAAGTAGGTTTACAGTTGCAATGCAATTAATACAATAATAAGTAATAATACAAGAATAAACTCTGTGCTTCACGTACTCGCAACTGTAAACCTACTTTCGCCCACCCTTGTATGTGGCAATCCCAAGTGACAGGATGGCCTTACAACATAGCCTCCAAACCAAGACACTTTAGAGAGAGGAAGAAAATGCTATTAAAATTCCCTTAGGACAATGGGGCAAACTGAAACACTGAGGAAACTGAGGTGTTGGTGATTAGGAGAGGCCAAGGGATCATCTACCCACAACCCGATTAGACCACTGCAACCCAATTTCTTCCCTTTCTAATGTCTGCAGGAGAAGTTACATCGTAGGGACATAAGCATCGTGATATCAAGAATACCACCCCAAATCTTAAAGACCCATCGGAGGGTGGGCTTAGTCTCAGCTGGAAGGTCAGTTCAGTCGGCTGGGCTTCTAGCAAGTCGGCAATAGGGGAATGAAACCTGGTGATCAAACTTCATGGCTACAAATTATCTCGATCCATAAACATGTGAGGCCATATCCAAACTAAATGGGAATGGTGGAGTGTGGGGACATGGGATGGGAGGTAGAAAGAAGAAAAAGGCACAGACGAAATGGCAAGTGTCAGCTGGGCCCAGAGTCACACGCAGGAAACCGAGCCATGTGCTCTGTCACAGCAATACCTGTAATTCCTCAGAGAGCTTTACAGAAGTAACTGTTCTAATCCAGAAATGCAATGACTGAAAAGCAGAGGCAGGTATGACACCCAGTCCTTGGAGGTGAGATTGCTTGCTGGCTTGTTGTTCTAAACAAACAGGATTAGAGAATTTAAATACCTTACTAAAGTAGCCAACAGGAAGAAAATCACAAACCACAATGAGATATCCATCACCTTACACCTGTTAGGATGGCTCTTACCAAAAAACAAGAGAAAACAAGGGCTGGAGGAAAGGGAATCCTTGTGCACTCTTCGTGGGAATGTAAGTTGGTGCAACCACTGTGGAAAGCAGTAAGGAGGGCCCTCAAACAATTAAAAATAGAATCACTATATGCTCCAACAATTCCGCTCCTGGGTATTCATTCAAAGAAGAATGAAAACCCTAACTCGAAAAGATATCTACACCCCCATGTTCACTGCAGTATTATTTACAATAGCCAAGACATGGAAGCAACCTAAGTGTCCATCATCGGATGAATAGGTAATGTGATACATATAATGGAATATTATTCGGCCATAAAAAGCAGGAAATCCTGCCACCTGCAACAACGTGAATGCACCTTGAGGCCATTAAGCTAAGTTAACCCTTTGCGGTCGTATTAAATTTGGACATGGGTGTCGTACTGGTCAGAATTAAGAGCTTTCAGAGAAATTATGAACTGATACATGAATGAATAGAGTTAAGATTCGTACAGTTCCTTGCTGTGGTGGCTGAGAGTAGACAAACGACCGCAAAGGGTTAAATAAGTCAGACAGGAAGACAAATACCATATGATCTCACTAATATGTGGAATCTATAGAAAACAGAGAACAGACTGGTTGTTGCCAGAGGCGGGGACAGGGAGCCAAAAGATACCCCCCAAAAAATGACGTAGCTAAACCTTGAACCCAGGGCCTTAATCCCAGACTTTTAGTCATTATGCTGCCCCACCTGGTTGGAATTATTCTTTACTATCCAGGGAACTGGGTTTTTTAATAAACACACACACCCAATGGCAAGGGAGAATATGCATCTAAGTGGTATTTCTTGCTCAGATTTCTGTAGGGTGAATTTATACCTGCGGATCACAGATGGATCACACTGTCCCTGAGGACTCCCCACATTTTGGGTCACCTTCCTACCTTTATACACAAAGAGCAATTCTGACAGTATCGTGAGCTCTTTCTCTTGGCCCTGTCTCCCCCAGAGCCCTGGAAGCCTGCGTTCCTCCTGCTGGCCTGCGGGAAGCCTCAAGCAGGTGGGCTCACAGTGCCCTCCCTGAGTTATGCTCGGGCCCGAAGCTTTAGGGCATTTCAGTGGAAAGAAAAATTTGTGGGACTTTGGGCGTGTGAATCCTTCATAAATAAAACATTCCTTTCACTGCTGAGGTTCTTGTGCCACATTGACCTGCCTCGGCCTCCAGAATGCACACAGACACTCACACAGGTATGATGTCATCCGTGAACAACCCTCAGTGCTCCATGGAGACCCCCAATAGATGGTCTGGAGAGGGGTCAGGACAGGGTTACAAAAAATAAAATACTGACTCAGTACCTTTCTATGATTTTATCTCATGTATTTTATCTCTTGTGTAGTCTGCTTTAGGAAAGAGGCCACAGTAAAAAGGTTTATGGCAACTAGGAAAGTGTGGCAAAGAGAAGGGAAGGCTGCCCAGCCCGTGTGACTCGGTGGTTGAGCATAGACCTAGGATCCAAGAGAAGGTTGGATTCCCGGTCAGGGCACATGCCCGGGTTTCAGGCTTGATCCCCAGCAGGAGGCAGCCAGTCAGACTCTCTCATCTTTGATGTTTCTATCCCTCTCCCTTTCTCTCTCTCTGAAATCAATAAAATATATTTTTTTAGAAAGAGAAGACTGAAATTAAGCTTGTAAAACCCCGGTTACACCCCCTCTGTCGTACAAGGTGCATTAGGGTGGATCCCTTCAGCACCGGATGAATGCAAGGGCCGGATGAATTCCTCAGCATCACAAGGCATGGGGTTTGGAATAGTCTTTATTAGGGAAATTTCTAAAGCAAGGATCAGCAAGAGGAAAGAAGGCACAAATGCTTCCCCTTGTCCCAAGGCACTCCAGGGCCTGTGTGCACCGCTGGACACACTGTAAGCCTGAGTTCAGGTGGAGGCCCCAGCCCACTGCTGTTCTCCCTTCCTTTAGGGCAAGCCTGGAAGAAGACTTAGCAGAGGGGTGATGATCCCATAGGACCACTCTGTAGCCAGGCAGCCTGGATCTGGCTGCCTGCTGGGTGGGAGCCACGTGGGAGCACCCACTGCCCTCCCCCTACAGACCTTGGGGTCTGAGGGATGTTGCCGTGGGGAGGAAATCTCTGGTCCTAAGGGAAGCCGAGCTCGGATGTGACCCCCTTCTGCTGGGAGAGAGACGAACCTTCAGGCGCAGCTGTTTTGTCCCAGCAGCCCAGAGAAAGCTCCTGAGTTATTTTTTTACAAATCTCATCTCACACCCATACACTTACATTTTAGATGTATTAGCTGTTCTCTGCCAAGTGTGTAGCAATTACAGAGGAACAGGGACATCAACAGCCTCAAGCTCTATGGTACTGAGAGTTATATAATCTACTTTTGGTCAAGTTATGACTGTTTCTTTTAGAGTACAGGGAAAAAAAGCAGCAGTCAGAAGACGTGTGTTCCAGTGTGCATGCAGCTAGCATTCAATGCCTATCTTCTCTGACTTTGCTTTTATCATCCATATTGAAAAAATAATGATGACGGGATTACTGTCAGAGTAAAAATCAAATAAGCAATATTAATTAAAGCACTTAGTAAGCTCCAGAGTACTAGATCAACACATGTTTGATTATGATTGTTTTTTATCCATTCAGCGCTTGGCTATGATCTTACTCTAACAGAAAACTCAGCTACAAAATGTGTCCTTGTAGCCAGTGTCCCCCATCAATTCAATTCAGCAAATATTTATTGAGAACTTATTTTTATTCCAGGCATCATGCCAAGCCTGGGCATAAAATGGGGAAGAAGACAGTGTCCTTTGTCATGGACCTCATAGTCCAAACCTGCTTGCTTCACCAAGTCTGGTCTTTGGACACCGACATTGTTAGACATGAACCATCACGGCCCCC